AGTAAATGCTGTTTCAATGCCCCATGAAACACAGACGGCTGCCATCGCAAGTGTAGTTTTGGCTCTGGCTTCAAGCATTGGGTATACTAGTAAGTTCGAGTGCTCGCATCGCTTTCTTATATCTGGTCTCAAATTGTCTCAATCAGCGCTCATTGCATTTCGTGTGTGCTGCGTGAACCAGAGAGTCAAGAAGTATGTCTTTAGCAGCAGCCATGCGCTCGAGGATTTCATCGTCCTGGTTATTGAATCAGGAGCGATATACACCGCGTTCTTGCTAGTCTTATTGATATCACTTATGTATAATAACACTCTCTGTCTCATTCCTGACCAAGCGGTGAGTGTAAGATTCTGTAAGAAGTCAATCTTACTGATAACTGAAACTGATCTTTGCAGATTATACAAGTCGTGGTAAGTTCAAACTCGGATGACACCATCACACTCACGATTCCGATAGGGAATTGCTTATTACATGATGCTATTTCAGTCGACACTTCCTCGAGGGAATCACTACCCCCGAATACAAACAGAAACCCGGAATTGCATTACGCGGCAGGTAGAAGACATTGAACTATCCTTACCTGAGGCTTCTCACCCGGTGGTTGTACATGTTAGCAAATTGGAAACCACAGTTTAATCCCTTAGATCATTTACGTGCAGCTTGCGGTAGCGTAGTCGGTGACTCCATACTAAGCAATCAGAGACGATATCGGACGGGTAGAGGGTAGTGCTTAGGTGGGCGGAGAAAAGAAAGAAAATAGCGTTCATCGTGATCTCTGTCTTCAAGTCGATGATGCACATCATGATACTGTCCGTACCCCATTAATGTAGCTCGAGCGCGATTGATAGCTCAAGCGAAGCCATCACCAGGTATTCACCAACACGACCGGAATCTCTTTGCAACATCAAAATCAGAATCAACGGCGTGACCATTGACTCCAAAATCTCCGAGCACTGAAGCTTCGTCTGAATTGTAGTTCGTCACTATTGTGAACAGGAGACCTGATATCATGACGTCCGACAAGGATTTCTTATGTGATACTTAAGCGATATGATTAGCCTTATGGGGCATACTCATCACCAAATATTTCAGTTGCCGAAGTCCACAGCTGCGGCGTAGGCCCATAATCCGTCACCTCGATACTCAAGAGACGTCATCTTTTCCTTCAATCCAATGGATGTCTTCAAGATGTCTTTGAGAGTAACATTACTTCTTTGAGTTAACTGATAATTGATATTGGTTTGGCGCATAGACTAGTAGCTATCAACAGACGGGATGTCACACAGTAGGAGAAAGTAGATCTGCTATGTGATATCACATCTGCCATCACTAAGATGATCATGGTGACAACGACGTGCGGCGGTAGCGGTCCTGACATATAAAGCCCATGGATATGTGTATTATAATACATCGTAATGGTTGACTCCGACGAGTTACTGGCTGCGAAGCTCAATGTGCTGGGCGCACTGATTGGGTGTATCCTCTACGGTATGTCCAGCCTTTACACAGCAACTATGATTCATTGACTCGGTGCTATGGTCAGGTGGATTCCTAGTGCTCATGGTCACTACCCTGGTGTCAACGTTCAGAAAGACAGTCACATCACAGGTTGCCCGTATTCATGTAGTGGGATTTATGATGCTTTGTCTCGCCTCAATAGTAAGTACCAGTTTCTTCTTATCTTTTGATGCTAATGAGTGGCACAGCACGTTATCTCCAGCATCATTCATATAATTAGAGGACTCGACAGTGGCGGAGATCTTCGAGAACAGTTTAACGATCCCATCTTTCTCCTTAAACAAATAACTACTGGGCTTCAGCTCCTTCTCGGGGATGTATCTTGGGTAAGCGTCTTCTATCTTGATTTGCCTTGACTCATATCAGGCAGTTATATCGGCTTCACGTTGTTTGGAACGGGAAAAAGAGTGTGACTTACCCGTTCATATTTCTTCTCATTGTCGCGATAGGCCTCGACATTTACCTTGCTGTTCTCTTTGTGAAAATACCAACAAATCCCAAAGCTTCAATGCCCCAGGAAACGCGAATCGCTGTTATCACCGGTGTAGTTATAGCTCTGGCTTCAAGTGTTGGGTTTACCGGTGAGTGAAACTACACTAATCAAGTTTTATATCTCGATCACAAACCTTGAGAATTAGTGCTTATTGCGTTTCGTGTCTTCTCTGTGAACTCGAGAGTCAGGAAGTATATCCACAGCAGCGGTCCGGGTCAAGCTCGCAACATACTCCAGGATTTCATCGTGTTGGTCATTGAATCAGGCGTATTATCCACCGCGTTTTTGCTAATCGCCTTGATATCACTCACGTTCAAGAGCTCCGTGGCTGTAATTTCTTATGATACTGTGAGCCACAGCTTTGTTTCGATCAGGAGGCGTTCCTACTGATGACCATGTTTGAAGACCATACAAGTCGTGGTACGTTGAAACCTAGATGCCGCAACCATACTCACGATCCGCTAGGGACTTGTTTATTATATGATGCTGTTTCATTCGACACTGTCCAAAGATAATCAGCACCCACCAAGCCGGAACGGCACAACGCGGCAGGTGGAGGGTGTTGAACCATCTCAGCTCGAGGCTCCTCGGCCTGTAGTGGTACATGTCACCAAATGGCAAACGAGACAGGAGGAACCAGTATAGAGCTCTTTAATCATTCGGATGTTAGTGTTACGGGTAACTACAAGCGAAGTAACTCACCGCGATTGGTGCCTCTATAATTATGCACATCATGAGGCCACCACACCCCATTATCATTATTCGAACCCCATTGATGACATCAAACTCAGAACAAACGGTGTATCGACTTCCAACTCTCTGAGAACACCCAGTCTCCGTCAAAATCAAAGACGGTCACTGTTGTGAACGGACGACCTACCGATATTATCTTGCCGGTGAAAACATCATTCCTGAGATGACTCGCGAGTTGTATAGCGTGAGTACTTCAGGACATACGGGAGATCAACTCGATCAACTCGATCAACTCACATGAAATAGATGAAATGATTCGAGCATTGCCATACCAAGCCATCACCGCCCATTCCATCCCTGAGTCGTCACTGTTGTGAGCAGATGACCTATCGATATCATGATGCCAATGATAGCATCGCTCCCGAAGATGTTTGGAGCAGAGCAGCGAGAGCGGCTCAATCAACTCGTCGGATCATGGCAGATTTAACGTAAAATGAGTCGGGACAGTGAAAGGCTCATCGTTCCCAGTAGAATAGCGACGGCATATTAGACGATCTGTGTCCTGCGCGCCAGCATGACGAATGGACGGGCGACGAACTTGAACTTGGAGACCTAGTTTCTCACTATACCTGTAGACGATACACCAGATATCATTCATCTATAAATATAGCTGTATATGAAGTCAGAAAGGGAATCTCTGAATAGTACAAGACGTACAGCATTCTTTTTCCGCGTGTTTCTATAGTATCCACATCCGTGTAAGGTTCGCAAAGGTTCGCAGCTCACGATCGTCTATGAGTAAATGATCCCAGGGTACAAATCTGTAACTGGAGCCAGAAGGATCAGATACATAGCTACCGCTTCGGGGTACGCACTGAGCCGCGCGAATGTGAGGTGAGGGCCCTGTTGATTTTCCACGATCCAACGTGTATATGATGCGGGACATGCATCAAGATTGACGCTAGAGGTCTTAGGAAAAACTGGAGGATCAAAGTTCCAGAAGCTGACTCACTACCGTTGAAGTGGACGATCCCTCGAAGTGTCATTACCCACAAAAACAAACTGAAACCGGGAGCTGAAGACTTGAAGACTCGAATAACAGGTCAGGAGGAGAAAGATTCCGGAAACTTAGCGAACATTACTCACCAAATGTATCTGTCGATCATGATTGTTCTTCACATACAGCAGTCGTTTGGCTACCTGGAAACCAACCACAAGGGAATGTTTTATCAAGCCAGATACGGAGTGCCCATGCATCACCGTAAAGGAACGAAGCCCACCAGTTGCAAGATAAGAGACAGATAGGAAAATAGTTGAGGATCGTCATCGTGGTCAAAAGAAAAGAGCTCGTACGAGATTGATGGGTGACTCGTGTGACTGTCACAGTCACACCTCTCCTTGTCATTTCGCGTCCATCGTTGGCATCTTCAATCCTCCTCTCCCACCCACCGTAAGTCCTCCAAACTCGCTCAAATGAAAGTTCAAAGTTAATTCCTCCACATACTGCCGCCATAGAACTAGAGCTCTTCTCCTCGGTGCTCACTAGACGTCCATTTTTCCAAACGCGACGACTAATTCAATGCCTTCATCTCCCGTCCTTTTGGGCTCGGTCCTTCCCTGGAATAACATCAACCTCGTTACTCCATGCTCTCCGCCTCTCCAGTGTCAATCTCTAGAACCCGTCTGCCCCCTTCGATACCAGCGCCAGAGGACGGATTGAAGGGAAAGCTAAATAGCGATGGCTAACGTATGTTTTCCGCGACTCCCACCTAATAAAACACCTCATCTGAGTATAGGTTCATTCTCCTTTAAATTGAAGCCTATTTCACGCCGATCGCGAAGAAACTCCCCTCTGGCTCGCCCGAACGATTCTCCGCCATGCAACACTTATCTCTGGTACCACGTAGCAAGGGAAGCAAAGTCCATTCAGGGAGGAACGCTCTCCTTTTTTAGCTTTCGTTGCTATAGACGGAGCTTGGTACATCCACGCCTCTCTCGACGAACTTGCCGGTACTGAAGATCGTATAGATCACCCGGTACATGATGCCAACTTACCACCCAGGACTCAACACAACCTCCATGCGAACTATTCCTTCCCCAAGTCCTCTTTACATACAGATTACCATATGCATCACCCGCTCCACCGCTCTCAAGCTGTACCTCGTCTCATCACGCCCACCGCCCTTAATCGAAACTTCACACCCATTCTCGTTTCCATCACTCCCCAGTTGACCCTCCTGTTGATTTGGGTAGGAGGAGCGAACCGAGATCCAAACTCGGAAGACATCGAAGGGTAATGGTTCGATGGCGTAGTTGGTTATCGCATCTGTCTAACATGGTCCAGCTTCGGAACGTCGTTACACAGAAGGTCCCCAGTTCGAGCCTGGGTCGAATCATGTAGGTTCTTCAAGCTCTCTTTTGCCTAGCGACATAATCTGACCTCCGCCCCATCTCCGCATGAAGGATTAGTCGGCTTAGAAAGGTACATTGGGCGTTCGATACTCAATGACCGTAAGTTGTAAAGCTATATCTTCGTATGCTGATGCAGACTTCTTAAAACCCTTCCTTATGTCTTAGAACCTAAAAATGCCACCAGAATCGACTATAGCACTCTTTGATGCACCTATCGGCTTCTCTTGATTTGTATCCACTGGATGAAACCACGGGTTTAACGATGACATACTCCCTGCGAGAAATTGATTCAACGGGCACATGGTGTAGTTGGTTATCACATCCGCTTAGCATACACATCGTTCGGGTTTGTGCGATTGCGGGGGGTGCTGGGTTCAATTCCCAGTGTGTCCATCACTATGTATTTATGCAGAAAATTCTAGTTATTTCGTTGTTTCCTACAAGTACAACTTTCAGCTCTCACCTCTTGCTATTCCAGTCCACAAACTCCATTTCAGTGCTCTCTAGGAATAGACAATTGCTACTCGGATTGGGTCGCCAATGATGAACACGAGGGAACCACGAGACTTCCCATGAGAAATCAGTGCGGGTCCAGTGCGCGTTAGAGGTTGTAGGTACCACTACGTGGAACTCGAATCCGATGAATGATTCGGCCTCTTTGGCAAGCGAACAGCGGCATATACAAACGTGCGTACTGGAACTCACCCAAAATGCCCAGTTTGATGTCGGTGAACGCTCATTCTTCTCCTGATTTTCTACGACGTAATCCTCGTCTCTAGTGATGACAAGCGGTTTGATGCGCGGCCTAGAGATCTATAGCAAAAGCTTCATAGAAGCTTGACCTACCGCATCAAGGCGACGACGATTCACACGGGTTTGAGCATCTTTCGACGGATAAACCCGCAGAGGTGGATTTGGGTGCCTAAGGATCAGTAAGGTGTGTCTCTCCTTTTCCTTATCGCGACAAGATGTCAACGAAAAGCAGTGGAGTTAGGTCGGCTGTGGATAAGTGTAGGTATGGTGTAGAGTATCCCGAGCTGACGATGCATTGAAGAGCATGAAAGGCAGGATGAACAATATCCTTGTCTGTCCGGTTCAATCATCTCATTGTCATGATGTTGCTGATAGAAAAAAAAGAGGTTGCCAAGAGTATTCATTTGCCATATTCGTTCAGCTGTTGGCAGTTACGTACTAAACACCCGCGAGTCATCCCGCACGGGTTGTTACCCTTAGCTTTTCCACGTTGCTTCCACGACCATCCAATTACAAACGGCAAGGAAAACCTGCCAGTGGGTATAATGATCTAAATACTTTTCCAGATATCTATATACGATTAGAAGAACCTGATACTGTCTCGTTCTTTTCCGTCTTTCACGCGTCGATGGACAATGTTACTAGTGAAAGAAGACCACTATAAGCAGGCTGTAAGCTCCCTGTATTCTCACAAACAATGAGTAAATCTACTTACCCCGTTTCCAATAAACACGGAAGCTTTGCTCGCAATCTCCATATCCACGGCCATACTGACATCAGTCTGCTCTTGATCCAGCATCAAATCCTTGGTCGTCCTGATAAGCCACCCTTCTTCCCCAAGCGCATTGATGATCTCGTCAGCGAATCCGCTGTGGTCATTTGTCAACAGATACATGACATCCAAGACCGCGCCACGGCCGTTCTTTTCCTGTGATAGAAGATATTCAGACCTGGCTTTACGTACTTTGTCAACGATATCGTCCACGGAAGGCCAACAGCGCTTCATATGGTCCTCTAGCCCAATGTTAGGTGTCTGTCTATCCGGCAGGAATCCAAGCCCGTTCCATCCATACCACGGCATTTTCACTGTCCAGAGTCCCACGCAATGGTCCTCAAAGTCACCTTTTCGCAGATGAATCGCCATCATTCGGTCCCATGGGGTCGGGGAAGATTTCTGAATGCGAGGACTTGGAGGTAAGAACAGATATTCGTTTTTATACACTGCCGACAGGACGAGTGGCGAAGGCTGGAGCAATCTCGACGTGGGTGAATTGATAAAGAGCTCCCATAACGATTCTAGCCGGGTGGCGTTGAACCACAGATGCTCATCAAAGGTTTGGGGACGCGTGTCTTCCCGAATTGGTGGAGATTGAATCTCTATACATCTCTCCGGCGCTTTCAGAAGAACGTTCTTCCATGCATCGAACACTTCGTTGCCGGGTGCGCTGGAGATGTTAGGTTTGATTTCGCGGGTGTTAATGATCCGACGTTCTGGACAAACAATATCGAACCATGACGCTGAAACACTTCGGGGCGCCGGGTCACCAGTCCCCCAAACACCTCCAGCTGTGGGACCTGCGATAATCGCGTTGAGGGGTGTACTGGGTTCTGGGATATGGAGCGCCTTTGGTTAACCACCGTGTGGTAGAAAAATATCATTCAAACTCACCAGATTCTAGCCATTTCTCCTTTGGCCACCGATAATGATTTACAGCCCACAAGTAGTCCTGGAAGACGTATGCCCGTTGCGAGGCATAGGCAAGGTGTGCATTCATTAACCTAGCAATTGTCGAACCTGAGCTGTATGTTTCTGGAAGCAGAGAGCGATCAACTTACATTTCGTTTAGACAATTATTCCATCCCATAAACCTGACCTGATTCGAAAACTTGACGTATCTGCCTTCCTTTCCCTCTGGAAATGGTAGTGACTGATTGTGTTGGGGTAGATTCTTTTCATATCCCCGTATTGAATCGTAGTGTGGAGGTCCTAATGCAAGGATGTTTGGGGCTATAGAATTTCGATCGAATTTCAAGTTGTCGCCAAAGAGGTTTCTGGCGTACTCGCACGTTTGTGGATGGGCGGAGAGACCGAAAAGGACGAGGAGCAGGAGACAAATGGAAGCAACAACGGCAAGGGTGACTCGGACTCGTCGTCGTCTGGGGAGATTGTATGGCATGCTAGGACCAAGCTCCTGTGCGTTTTGTAAAAGGGATGGCATCGAGTGTGAAGTAAAAGAGGAAAGTTGATTCTTCAACAGCCTAATATCAAGATATTTTCAAGATATTTTGCTACTTTCCGTAACCCTCGGGAGTCGGAAACTACAATTAAGCTTCAATCGGTGGCCGCAGTGACCGTAGTGGCCGTTGGCGTGCTGATGTCCGCAGCATTGGATGTACCTGATACCTATCGCGAAACCCTGATAACTCCGAGTCAGATGGAACATCTGGGTGTGAAATATGTCGTATAGAACAGGTATTGCTCCCAACAGCGGGCAATATTTACCGTGAATATTACCATAGTTCCTCCTGCGTCTAGCTTTATTTGACGAGACATGCTGTCTGGTTAGTTAAGTAATTGCCGTTAGTCTGCTGTCCAACTTGCATTCAAAAGCACCAGAACTGTATTGATACAGTGATGGTTTCCTAGTATCGATAAGCATGCCGTCGTTATAGTGCTACCCGTACTCCAGTATCGGCCATACAAAACCGTTCTGTTCTTACAGTATATCCTCTTGTTGTCACAAGTTCTAGGGTGCGGACATCAAATGATACCCGATCCGAGGCGACCGTTTAGCCACATGTATTTGGGATGTCTAGGCTGAGAACATTTCAGCCTTTTCTGGCGTGAATACAACATAAAACATACACGTGCATCAAGCATACAAGCGACAAGTCTGAGCAGGATATACAATCGTCCTACGCCCATTACTTGAGACGCGCTACTTCATAAATATCCACTGCAACCCTGAGGACTTCGACGGCTATCGATCTCAGATACAGCTTATCTTCGAGTCAGAGGTTACTCGTCTCCCATCCATCGTGCCAGAGCAGACCTCCAAGTCTATTCAAACAGAACAACTTGGTTATAGACCGCTCCCGGGGCTTTCCTTTGGTGTAAAGACCCGACTTTGAGCTTTGTGATTTACTTCAAGTTGGGGAGAACAGGTTTTCCGAGGTTTGGCTTGTGAAGGTTCCGGTTTCATGGAACACCTAGGGAGTTCTCTGACCGCGGTTGTGCTCAAAAATTCCATATCGTCAAAGCACCCATTACCAAACACTGCCAATGTGTACAGCGGACTATACCGTGCGCCTCAGGATTGAGTGAATTGCTAGACGAGGCCTACAGGAAATCGAAGGATTATCCAGGGAAAAAGGTGCCGAACTGTTTCGGCAACTTTAGGGTGCGTACAACTTACGAGCCATATGAACAAGATTGTCAGTTTACTGAGACCACTAGTAAGTGGCATGCTAGTCATACAAATCTTAGTTCGCGTCTGTGATAGTTATTGTTCCGCTGGAATGTTCTCTAGGGTTTTAACTATTAGTTACTAAGTGGATGTCGCATATCCCAAGTCACTTCTCGTTCTCTTTTACAAGCATGTTGACCCGTTATTCTATTGTGAAGAATCTTATCCCGGCATCATTACTATATCCTAGTCCAGGGCCAAAGAGTTTTCGAGGGGGATACATGCGTTGATCACCCGACTTGTGGCTTTGAACCACAAGCGTACTCATGCCCGAACAATACAATACAGTTGTGAACTTTGAGGAGCAATCTCATGATGATGGTGCAATGGTGAGAGAGAGGTGAAGGTTATGGTCGATGCACCGCAGAGGCGTAACCATCGCAGATGGCTTAGCTGAGGAAAGAATAGGTGCACGGAGGCGATATCACTTACCTCGACTATGACGGCATTACGACCTATATGAGCCATACTGTCTTGTGTCAGCAAAGACACCTAGTCCGACAAAAACATACACTGAATCCCATCATTAGCCTTGAAAATCCCAAGACACAGGTGGACATTTGATCACGAGAATATCCCCGCCTCTCCCGAAATAACCTCGCTTGAGCCCATACATTGCCTTAGACCCTTCTTTACCACTCATTTCGTTTGTGATGATCATAAGGCCAGACAAAGGCCAGAAATATTTGCAATCTCGGGTCTACTCACAGGTCACCCGAGCCTGGTTATCAGAACATTTCTGGAGGTTCGCCACCATTGACGTCCCGAATTCAACCCGAATTTGACCCACACTCGGCAGCTCTGTGCGTCCATATCCAAGATCTCCTCTGCGGTCAGGCCTGCCGATCAGGAGGTCACTTTTGGATGGCGAGTCACAAGTCACTTGAACGCCCCTTGAACTGGTCCAGCATTCACCTTCAATCCACTCTACTGGCAGCGCTCAAACAGGGGTCTCGATACCAAATCCAAAATGGGTGTATATGAAGGCTGCTCAACGGAATGCTGTGTCAGGAGTGGTTGAAAGGCGTCATCGGGTCCAGTATTCTCCTTCGAGGGTATCTAGCGGACCGAGACCCGGTGTCAAATCGAAGCTGGATGGATATGAATGTTACTGAGCAAATGGAAGGAGTGGTTGAGAAGGAGCATGATAGCGGGATAAGGTATCGAGAGCAT